TGATTTTTTTTTTTTTTAATTTTTTGTCTTTTTATTTGTGGCTGCATATAAGCTTAAATTACTTCTGTGCTTTTAGGAAAACTATGCTGTTGGTCCAGTTTTCCAAAAAGAGACAACACTTTTAGATGTTGTCCATGTATTTTGAGGTATCTTCCTTTCTTTTGTGTTGATTTTTCCCTTGAGCACTTGCTAGTTTAAAGATGTGCATTTTAATGATTCTGTAGACTAGGTGCCTGCACGGGTGATACACCTTCCCTTTGTAAGGCTGAGATAGGGCTTTCTGCACTGTGGGAAGAGCTGGATGATGTTTGTCCCTTTTCCTCAGTTGTTTGTGAGGAAGAACTAGGCCCAGTTTCATCTCATGCGTAGTGTTGGAGTGTGTGTTTCATGCTAGCTGTTTCTTCAAACTCATTCTATTCCAGTGTGTGTATTTTGATCTAATCTTCCAAATATTTTTCTGAAATCTGTCATTCAGATTTGCCAGCCATGCCTTTCAAATACAAAATTCCTCTGGTTTTGATGTTTTGTGATTTAATTTTAGAAATGTAACAGTTCTGCCTCCTTTGCTTGAAGATACTTAAAAAATGTGTTGGAATCACCCATTTTCCTCGGAGACCTCAATCGCAGTAGATGTCACTATGTGATATGATGTGGTATAGGCGACCTTAGTTTGAGTCTTAAGACGAACATTGTTTGACATGTGCTCAGACTAGAGGCTGACAGATTTAGGGTGAACTCGGTTATCCTTTTCCTTTGAAGAGTGCTTATCTTCCTTACGCGAACTGGCCATGGGTTTAGATTTGCCAGGTATTTGCAGTTCTGTGAGCAAATGATGCTTACATAGAGTGACGGCAGAGGGAGAGCGTGGAAACCAGGAATTGTTTTCTACTGGAGGGCCTGTAAGAGACCAGATCATCCAAAATGGGATAATGGTAATGCAGACGATGTGTGTCCCTGGCAGCTGAAGCCCTGGGCACTTGTAGAGTGTCTGCCATAACCTACCTCTCCAAAACTGGAGGCACAAATATCACCACAGGACTCTTTCTGTAGGGAGCGGGGGAAGTAACACAGGTATAGACTATTTACAGGCTGGTATAGAGAAGCAATAAATTAAGCATTGTTGTGCATTTCTTAGTAAGCTCAGTCCTCACCCTAATCAAATACGATCTTGAAGGCATTAGTTCTGACATAGGCAAGATCCAAGTAGAGTGAGTTCTTTCAGTTAGTTTACACAGAGGTGCAAGGAACACGTAAGTGCATACACACACAGAAAAATGACAGTTTTAACACCCAAAGTTGGGTCATTTTGCAAACATAGCAGGCTGATACGCAAAGATATTCAGGAAGCAAAGGGAAAGTGGTGTGTCAGAGAGTATAAGGTGAAACCGTCAGTATCTCAATAAAGGCATCTCTCACACAGGTGGGCCCAGCAAAGTGCTGCTTGTGGCTTCTACTATATTTTTTGAGCAAAGTGTAGAGACAACTGCACACTTTAGTGAACTATGATAAACCATTACCAGCTTGAATTTGTTCTCTGTTGACTGAACACCACAAAACTACTGTGTAGATCTCACTTTATTTCCCATTTCACATGCAGTTTTTGCTGAATTACAGCACTTTGATTGCTCATGAAATAAGGAAAGGTACTGAGGTGATGACTGAACTGGTGCATATATATTTATGTATTTATTTCATAAACGTGAAGAGGTTTGTTTCTGTATGTAGGAAAAAATCAGTAACTGGAGCGGATTGGTTTTAAATCCATGAATTAAAATAAGTGATTTAAATGTGTTTCATATTAACAGGCATTTTTGATATCCAGCTAAATGCATAATTTGGGGTGATATTTGTGTACAAATAAGAGACCTAGATTTTCTTTATTTTGTATGATTGATCCAATGCATTTGCTCTGATCTCAGTTTTCTAGGTCTGTACATACGAAAATCGTGTATTTCTAATTAAGTAGCTAACTTTCACTTAAGATCTATTTAAACTCTGGTTTGGCTAGAACTTTTTAATTAAATCAAAAAACCTGCATGATCAGTGCTTTTAGTTACCTCTGCCTAAAAAAATTAAAAATACTAGTATATATTAAAAAAATGTAACAAGACGTCTTTTAAATACAGCTTGCTTTGTAAGAAGGGAAAGTATTGATCATTTGGTGAGTGAGAAACTGTTTCTGATATGTATGGTGCTTTAAATATGCATGGTTAATGGTTACTAGTACTGGTTTTTAGTCATTGGTATGATAACATTTCCTTATCCACTTTAAATGATCAAGTTGTTAATTTTGGGTTGTATAGTTCATTTTAAGACAGTTTTCTCTGTAGCCGTAGAAGAGATGATTGCTGTCAAAACCTGCTTTTAGCACTTCAGTGTACATTGTTTTCAGGTCGTCTTCTGATGACTAAATTTCATGAGACTTTACAATTCAGTTTGCCTTGGTAGCAAATATGTACTGGCTGAACTTGACTTCACCATTCTTTTTGATTATTTTAGTATGTCATACTAAGCCTAGACCTCAACATCTGTAGCTCTCATTTCAAAGGTAGTACTAATTACATTTTCTAATTATACTTTTGGTTTTTTTAAATGACATTTTATGTCTTTTATTTACTCTTTGTTTTATAAGAATCTTTGTAAAAGAAAATTCCTTAAAGTAACCATGGCTTTTTTTGAGTGTTGAATCAGAACTAGAGAATTGCATAGTTAAGTGTGTTAGATCAGTCATGTACATTTATTCAAAACAAAACTTTAGGGCAAATCAGTAACTGTGAGAGAGTGGACCATCACCAGTGATTGTTATGGAGACCTTTAAAGGCTTTTTAGCCTGTTTTGCACTGATGAGAAAAGGGAGAATATCAAGCTCCCTTGATGAATTTGAGCTATCTGTGACTTCTCCTCAACTGTTCAAAAGCATTTTAACTCTCTTTTACCAAGTGTCCAGCTAAGCCAGCCTGGGACCTAGCTGTCTCCAAGAGGTGTCCTCCCTTGTACTTTCCCTTCTGCAGCTTGAAGCAGATTAACTGACCAGAACAAACCAAAAATCCCTAATCCTACAGAAAAGCTTATTGAGAAATCAAATGATAGCTAGTGCTGGTGGAGACAGTAAAGAAGGATTGCTCTTTCTGGTGACCATCAGCTGGTACAGTGCTTATCCGTGTCATGGAACAGCCCTCCCTACCAGCAGTTGTGCATGTTCTTCCTCCCTTAAGTACTAAGTGTAACCTGATTAGTTAGTAACGCATAGTGTGTTCTTAGTGTCAGGTGTTAAATAGTTGGAGAAACGTGATGTAAGTATTGCAGAAGAGAATTAATTCACAATTGGTGCCAAGATGTCTGAAGGAAATAAGAACTTCTTAGGTCTGCTCATTGCAGGGAGTGGAATTGAGTATGGGGTGACAGTCTGGTTAGAGGCAGTATTCTCACTTATTTCTTTGAAGGACATGTGCAAACATCAAGGTTAAGGTCGTGACAATATTGCCATGTTCTCACTCTTTTAATTCCTGGGTCTTTAAAATAAAATCCACCAAGATGAAACAAGAAACCGGGGTGACAGTAGAAGCTGAGGTTAATTTTAACTTGATCAGGCTGAGACAACCCACCATTCTGTCTATCGTTAATGTAAGACTACTTTGCTTTCTGATTGAGAATGAATAGAAACCTTTATTTTATATTGAAAGAAGAGACTTATTCTGTCAGGACCTGTGTGGACTCTGAGCTGTGAAATGACAGCAATGCAGTGCCTGCGGGCAGAAGGAACTACCTGTTGCAGCGTGTACCTCCATCTTGTAATGGCCCAGGGTTTGAAATAAGGGGCTTATCGTTTAATGGCTCTCATGTGCGAGAGAAACAACATGCACAGGGAAGACCTAATGTCTGGCAGCATACACACAGAGGCTTTTAATATATGTGAAGGGGTTGCCTTCATGATAAAAAGGGAGAGATGTGTGTCTCGGTGAAAAACGTGACTGGCAAAAGCTTTGTTTGTTCACTCCCCCCTCCCCAGCAAATTGCCTGAAAGTGGTTCATAACAGCAGTGCATCATTACTATTATCTCCCAGTGTGACTCACTGAGCCCTGTATAGCAGCTTGTCTTTTGAGGAGAATTCTTACTCAGAGCAAGTAGGATGTGGAAACAAATATGAAATGTCAGACTGTTATGTCACTGTTGCATTAGAATTTCTTTCGTGACAGAGAAAAACGTCTAAAAATGGCTTGGACGGCAATGCCTGTCTGTGCTAAGCAGGTATTGTCAGGATAAAAATCCTCATTAGTTTTCTCCTGATTTGATGCTCTTATTTTCATGATATTTATCTCTTTTTGGGCAACAAGAATGTATTTGTTGATTGCAGTAGCAAATTCTTGGGTATTTCAATATAGTAGGGTGGTGGCTTTTGGAGCATGCTTTAGTCTTTTTTTTTTACTTTGTGTTTTTAAGAGCTCTCTCCCTTTTATTGTCTAATCATGCCACAAATTAATTCTCTGTGATTTCCTTCTATTCTCTTTTAGCTGTAAATAACCAGCTTGTGACCTCCGAGCATGGCTTATCATGTTGATCTCTCTTAAGATTCTTCTGTCCTCCTTGTAGAAAGATTGGCTTTCTGGAATTCTAATAGCATCCTCTCTCCATATTTTGCATTAATTTAGTACCTTGAAATTTAGACTGCTTTTCTTGCCAAGAAAGCCTAGCCAAGGCTTTCTTCAGGGCTTCAGTGATGGCTGCTGGACCAGCCTCTCCGTCCTTATCCCCAGATGAACTCTAGCCTGAGGATCCAGAGCTCTGTTTTTCTAGTGCTGTTTCCAGTCCATGTCCATGCTGTAGTAAAGTGCTGCGTTGTTTGTTTATGTGGCATGTATGTTAACTCAGCTTTCACTTTAAAACAGCACTCAGGATTTTTAAATATGCACTGGGAAATAAGAATCCTTTCTTGTGTTTTGTGATATTGATAATGTATTAACAAAGCTGTGTTAGTAAAAGAAATACTCCTGTGTTCTGTTACAGGTTTTGGGATTTGAAGTTGATACAGTGAACTCTGTCCAGTTTTCAAACCACACAGGTAAAATTTTGCATGGGTCTTCAGGTACCACTCCACAGTCATTCAGCTCTACTCAATATGTGGCTCACTTCATCCCATGACAGTGGAAAGGAGATCAGTCTCATATTTTCACTCACATTTTCAGGATATGAGACAGAAATGTAATTTTCATGCTTTGATTCAAATCTCACAGAAGTCTGGATGTGGGATTAGGGCATGATACGATGTGGTAATGTCCTGTTCTTCTACTTCAGAGTGTGAGTTTCTTTTGTTAGACATTAATCTAATTAACTCGGACAGTGAAATAACACAAATACGGCCATCTATGCCAGCAGGCCTGTGAATGGGGGAGTCTTCAGTACTGTTTTCTGTCCCTTATGGCTCTGACACTCACAGTCATATTACCAACTCAAACATCAGAAGAATACTGAGCTAAACATGATATTTCCTCTCTTTATGTGCCCACCCAGATGGGTAGCAAGTGTCCTAAAATTACATTCTGGAGGGAGGAAGGGGGTAGGGTGTTTATACATTTGCATGTATTTTTACTTGGGTTCTAAGCCTGAACATGATGCACTTACATAATACTTTCAGACTTCGTCACACTCAGTGCTAGAGGACTTTATTTTTCAAAGTAAAGCTGAAATTTATGTTTATTTTAGCAATACCTTTCACTCATAAAGGAGCTCTAAGTGACTTGCTGGTTTTGGATCAATAGAGACACATCCACGATCATGGTCATGGCAGGTTGTTTGAAGGGAGATCTGCTCTAGGTAAAGAAATTCTGAGAGTGTCTTTAAAAAACAATCCAGGAACAAATTCTGACTTTAACATCTTGGAAAAGAGGAAAAACTCTGTCTGACAAAGGGAGGGGGGAGGTGTGGGGGTAGCGCGGGACACATGACACATGGGCGGACAGACACAAAAGTAGAGATACTTTCCTTATTTCCTCTTAATAAACTGCTGGGTTTTTGAACAGAGGGCAGACCAGGAAGCCTCTGTCCTCTCTTACTATGTTGAGCTCCATGCAGCTTTCAAAAGGTTAGAAGATGTTCCTATCGTGGAAAGAATTTAATGTCACCCTGGAAGAAGAAATGCATGTTTCAAAGGTAGCTAGAAAGCCATCTCTGCTTGTTGAGAAAAGGCATAAAAGAGGTAATAATTAAACAAGGGGTGGGGGTCTTCCTGGCTTAGGCAAAAAGCTGCTTATTTCACTTGACCCTTTGGCACAGTACAAAGGTGTTCTCATCTTTTTAAGAGATACTTAGATGTAACTTATGTTTCCTTAATGTGTTTAGTTTTGGACTTTGGGATTTTTTGTTGTTTAGTTTTTGATAGCTGGGTAAAACTGTTGTAATCTTCCAGATATGAAGCAATTTTTTCATGTGAAATAACTCAGCGCTCAAAATGAATGAGCCCCTGTCATTCATTTGCTTTGTTTCAAGATTAAATCAGCTTTATAGGGCGTTAAAAGAGCTTAATAGAGGTTTTATTGGACCATAAACTGAATGTGTCTGAAGGTAGGAAAATCACATTACCAATAGAATGACCAAGTTCTTAAAATAGAAAAGAAGGAAGATTTTTTTTTTTAATAGTATCACAGCTGGAGAAGGGTTACCAGTGCTTCATTCAAAGTTTGGCAGACATTGAAGATATGAGAAGAAACAGCATTGTGTTAGTAAATCTGTTAAAACATCCTAAAGATTGCTGCACAACCTCATGACTTAGGGAAGCAGAGCTTTCAGGAAAAAAAAAACACAATACGGTGAGTGTTTGTCACTTGCCAAGCATGGGTAAAAGGAGATTATACTTAGAAATATCAGTCATTTGGCTGAAAGAGGAAGGCATGGGAAAGAAAGGAAGGGCACATAATCCTTTTTATGGCAGGTCTAGTTTTCTAACACTGGAGTTTTTCCATTAAATCCTTTCTACCCTTTCTTAATTTGAAGGATAGATGCTAAACTTAGTGGCTTTGCACCTCCTCTTCAAGAGAGGCGTGTAGGAACATGTGGTGTCCTCATAGAAAGACTTTTCCAGGCTTGAACGTTTGTGCATGCCTGCAAACCAACTTGCACTAGTACCTGGAAATCAGTGTACCACTGGAGGGATTAATGAACAAACTGCCATGCTGGGCTGTGGCTTGTGCCTGGAGCAGTGCCGCGATACGTGGGAATTGTGTGCGGGATGAATGGGTGAGGATAACTTCGGTTTCCTACCAGAACAAGACCTTATGAAAACCCTTTCTGTGGTCATCATTAAAGCTGAAGGGCAAATTTCTGCTTCAAAATCGAGCTGTGAACTTTAGTTTCTAAAAGAATGCCACATACCAGAGGGGCACAGGTAGCAAAGTGTGTGAGGTTTTGGACATGGCATTCTTTCTTTCCCTGTCCCTGTCTTTAAACCTGGTCTTGTCATCAAAAGATAAAACGCAGAGAGAATTGATGACTAACAGGCTTTCTTTGGTGAATCATTATTGCTTTTTTTTGCCCTCTCTTTAAATTAGTAAGATACCACAGGCCTATTTCTGCTGACTTCTGCTCAGAAAATTCAGCTTTCTTTACTCTGATAATCCTGAAATTTGGAAAATGTGCTTTAAGTCAGTCCCCCTGGGAGAACAGTTTGTCATGCTGCTTAGTGAGGAACTTTAATGATTAGAATGACTCACCCTTGAATGCCATCATGCTTCATGTACAAATAAAAGAAGCTGTCATGCAACCTACAAAGATTCTGTGCTTTGTGTTCTATTTTACTGTACTGTTTGCAGAAGTATCTCATCATCTGATGTGCAAAATTAAATTATTTTTTTGTGTGTGTTGTTGTATTGTTGATTTTTTTGGGGTGCATTTTTAATTCTTCAGTGATTTGCATTATTTTTAATTGGTAGGTTAATGCTAAGCATATAATATGCTTACTTTGCTACCCAAATCCTACTGTTGAAACTGCTCCAGAACAAATAGCCTGTTTTTTTCCTGCTATTTTTATTTTTAAGCAAAGCACTTTTGACTTCCACTTAGTGGGTGTGTAGTGGGTGGTTGGGTTGGCTGGTAGGTCTGATACATGAGAAATTACCATTATGTCTCCTTGATGTAATTCTTCACAGTCTACCGCCCATATGCAGTCATTCACACCTGTGCAGGGCAGGACAAAAAGAAAAGATCTCCACTTCTGCCTAACACTGGTAGTATTTTACTCCTACACTGACAAGCTCTAAAAAAAATCCACTGGAGAATTTGGTACTGTATTTCTGGTTTTGTTGAAAGCCTTCTGATAGCTGAAGAGTAAGTCGTGTGTTTAGACCAGGTTTTGTGCCAGAGTGCGTGTGAATTTCGTGACACAGCTGGGACCAGATTGCCGGTCTATTGTGAGCCTTAAACACTAGATCTTTCTTCCTTTTTCCAATGTAAAATACGTGGTTACTGAAGCCACTTGGAATAAGTTTTCAGGGAGCAGCACAGGAGGAACTCAAAACCTCAGAACAGAATGTTCTGGGCTGGAACACAAAGAAATCTTACATCTTGCTACACTTAAATGGTAGGTTTTTTTTTTTCCCCTCTTCTTGTATGTGTGGGATTTTTATTCTTTTCTTTTTTCCTTGTTTTTGAATGTAATTAAGAGGCTTATAATTACATTCCAAAGGAGAAAAAAAATGTACCAGTGGAGGAAGGCAAGAAAGAAAAGTATGTAAATTCATTTTGGCTGCAGTATTAGCTGCTTCTATTGGTTGTGGTTTTGTGGTTTTTGTTGGTTTTTTGTTGTTGTTGTTGTGGGTTTTGTTGTTTGGGTTTTTTTTCCATACAGTTGAACTAGGACATTTCCCTGGAGACTAATGAATACCATTTAAGAGGGATAAGTGACGAGAGGCATCACGTCTTACCTGGTTTTCATTCCCTTATGTGCTGAAAGCAAATATATAACATTTAATTGCAATAGAAGGCCTTAATACAGATAGGCAGAAGGGGTATAAAGATGGTTAAATATTTATGTTCATCTATATGTTTAAAATCATTACTAATCTGGGAGACTAATGCAGTCAGTCTGAGCCAAGTGCCGTTTTGGAGAGCTTGTATAATGATTTGCAAAGTTCTCCCTGCTCTCTCAGTCCAGTGCTGAGGGGAATTATTTAGTGGTTTTGTAACCAAAACAAGGAAGACTCAGCTTTCTTCCTCTGTGGAAGATACAAGCCAAGATCTCACCTTAATATCCAAGATAAAAATAATAATTTAACCCAGCTGCTATGCCTAACCAGCTCTGTAGTCTCCAAATGGGATGCAGTTGTTCTGCCAAGTACAAACTTGAAACTCATTCTTTAGTTTTCTTGGCAGTGGTTCATGTATAATGTGTGCAAATAGCCAGGTACTGTGAGACTGAACTCATGTATTGTTGGGTGCCACAGTGGAAATATTACTGCGGAGTAGGAGTTAGAGTAAGTGGACAGTTAAAACAGATTTTAGGTTTTCTCTTGCTGTTTTCACATATTCATATTTAGTGGTGTAGGCATAGGGATAATGTTTCTAGGAAGCTGACATTCTTCTAGGTCTTGCAAGGTAGCTCTGGGCCTTCAAATGTGCTCATTACCAGCCGAGTTCTTACGTCTTGTCGAGGAAGACAGTGGCTCCTCATTGTCATCCGTAGCTCCAACCACTCATGCTTTTCCCTAAAGCAAATTGGACCTCACATGTTTAAGCTTGCTGTTGGTGTTCCCTGCTAACTAGCTCTGGGTTCAGGGCTATGCAGTGGTTTTTTGACTGCCTAGTATCTGTCTGGATTTTTTGCCTTTCCCCTTTCAAGATAGTCCCTCTTCCTGTGACCCCAAGGTATCCATCCTTCAGCTGGTGAAACCCTCTGAACATGAGTAACTGGCTTCTGTCCTTCTACAGAAGCTGCTTTTTGGTTGTATATTCCACTAGTAGAGCAGGATAGATGCAGTGTCATGGGATTTGTCCGTTTTTCATTATGTTACATGAAGTTACCCTGGGGAAGGGGCTTAGTGTGGTTTCCATCTTGCTGCCAGTGTTTGTTTGTTTCCTCTTACTTGAACATGATTGAGTTCCTAGTGAAATCACAGTTCTCTGCAGATCCAGTGAAGGCATTGCCCTTTTTCTTCTGTCTCAATGGCTGGGGCTTCCCTGAGAGTTTCCGTAGGGCTTTTTTTTCCTCCAGCTGTTGTGTGATTAGACTTTAGGTTGTATTACATGTGTTACCAGGTGGTAAAAAGGATCCTCTAGATACCCTTGGAAGTCATTGCTACAGAATTCGGACAACGTCCCTGCCCCTTGTTGGTAGCTTACCAGTTCCTGAGCTAAGCTGGGCTGCTACCTAACATTTTGTTTCCATGTTCATTTCACTCCCTCAGTGGAGGATCAGTGTGACACAGACCTTGTGCATTGACTGTTTCAGACAGCTTGACATAGGAAGGTGAACTTTTAGTTGAATAGTGAATGTGCAGGGTCCCTGTGTAAGAATGACTCCTGAGAGTATCTAGATTGTCTGGACAATCTATCATAGTTTTTCCTATGGCCGTGTGTAAGATGAATGACTGCTCTTTTGCCAGCTGACCTTGATTTCACCTCACAGGTGAAAACTGCACTCAGTTTCATCAGTGGGCACCACGGAATAAAAAGGTCTCTGTTGTGTCCCTGTATGGACTGGTTTTGTGGTGCTAAGAGAAGTAGAGATTCGAGGAAGAGGAGAGGGCAGATTATTCTCTTTGAAGCTGCAGATGTGACAGAACAAACATCTGCATGTGTGTTAAATAAGCCAAATACTTGAGTTAGTTGTAGTCAAGGGTTGTTCATATACTTGGGGCTAGACGTGTGCCTCTGTGTTAGCATTGCCATTTTGAATATCACTGTGTTCTGCAATGGAACTACAGCCCTAACCTACGGGAGTCCCTCACTTTGTCTGTTTCTTCACAAAGACTTTTTAAAAAGCATTTTCTAGGAAGAGAATTGTAGTGGCTGATGTGAGTCAGTCCCCCAGCCAGCTGGCACAGAGTCATGTGTTAGAGGCTAGGCCTTTGTGAGCTGAGGAGGACAAAATGATCCATCTGCTCACCCTACTGTGGGTGTATTTGCATTCATAAGAAGGAAAGCTGAAAAATGTGCTTAGCCTAGGCTCTAGGGACCTTTTGGCAGTTACTCTAATAACACAGTTTAGAGTGATAAGTAAAGCCAACAGTTTTTATCACAGAATTTTCTAACTCCAAGAACGGAAGGTAAAACGAACAAAATACCCTTGTCTTCACATGGGGATGGTGTGGAAAAAGATACCTCATTTAACACTTCACTTTTCCCAATTCCAGTTAATAAAAAGATAAGCTTTTTAACAAACTCTGAATTTATGGTGGTTGGAAGAGTTAAATTGTGGGTGCTTCATCTGATATCTTGGAGGAAGTCCCATTCTTGCCTATGGGGGAGTAATGGTTGCCTTCTAGATGGGCAAGCTTTGATGACAAGGTACAAAGTGCATTTACATTTTTCAACAGATGTTTAGAATCTGTCAAGAAAGAATTATTCCTTCCCCTCCCCTCCAAAATTGGCTGCTGTGGAGCTTGGTCCACTGTTTGCTGAAATCAGTTCAGCTTCTCCCAAGTAACTTCACCTTCCATCCGCTTCTCAGCCAAGAATATTGGCTTGTAATTCTGAGAGATCATTCAAGGATAAGAGCATATGGATATTATTTGTCTGTTTATAGTGTCTTTCTGATACTCATTTGCCTCCTCCAGGATCCTCAGCGTTAAAACTATGCTATTTTTGGAAGAAAATCTATCAGATTACTTTGTATGTTTGAAAAGTATCCATGACAGTGTTCTGCTGTGCTTACTGTATTCGTTACATGCAGGTCCCCATGAATGCCGTATCTGATGGGTGCAGCAGTGCTGCATGCCTGTGTCCACACAGATCCACAAGCCTGTTTTTAAGCTTGTCATCTAACTGTCGATCTTTTTCTTTTCTTAATAGGATAAAATAACAAAAATAGATTATACTGACACCCCTTTCCAGTGAAGTCTAAAACATACGTTTGTCCCCGTCCACACAGAAAAGGGATAATTGCATAAGCTCTGTGGGAAAACTTGCAGGAGCTTGTGTGTGCTCTGCTTGATTTGCTATAAATGGACAGTCAAACTCCAGTGTAGTCACTCCTGTTCCTTTGGGAAACAGAAGTGCTAAGAAGTTAAGCACGTTAACTGTTCTGCTGACAGCAGCTTTCATTCAACAACAGCGTTTTACGGAAGAGAAGGTGGAAATGCTTTCTGGTGCTAATGTCTGATACAGTCTCTCTAAGTGTATAATCTGTGTGATCCTAAGTAGAAAATCTACGCTCTTGAAAAATTATCTGGTGTTTACTTTGCAGGTTATGCCCACTGGAAGGGTCAGGTGTTAAATTCAGATGAACTTCATGAACTTTATGAAGGACTTAAGCTGAACAAGGTCAACCGGTATGATTATGTACTCACAGGTAAGAACAACTTCTTCCTTGGAGTTCCCATGAGACATAAATGAAAAATATAAACTGTATCCCTCCTTATTCCAAACCAAGCAATTACGTTTTCCCTCCTTTGATTCCTCCTGCAATTTGATCGGTATATTATAGTCTCAACTGCTCGTGCTGTTTAGTTTGAAACAGCAAGTGTTCTCCAGCCTGAAGGTTGTAATTGGGTGGGTAAATTGATCCCCTTGTATAGTTTACAGACTTGTACAGACCAGTCATATACAGGCTTAATTAATGTTTTTGGGAGTGTCTCTACTGAAAAAAGGATGAGGAATGTCAGAGTATTATTTTAAAATTTATTATGGAGATGTAAGTTTAACCCTTTGTCCTCGATTTGCAGTACTAGCACTCTGCAGTACTATGGCATGATTTTATACACAGTTGTCTGTCCTTGTTTTTTCTACTTCATCCTTAAGGGGTGGTTCTTTGGTTACAGAGCAAAGTATACGCAGGGTTGGATTTTGGTTTTGACTCTGTCCTATTTCTTGATATTTTTTTTTTATTTTTTTTTTTTCTTCTTTTTGCTCTTGTTACTATGTGGATCCTCTGAGTGGATACAGTTCTACAGGGCATGATGACTGTGCAGTGTTTTCCTTTGCTTGCCACTAGGTGCAAAGTGTTTATAAATACAGGCAAAGAGAAGTTTTTGTAGAGTGCTTTATAGAAAGGAGAGATTCTATGTGCAGTTTTTATTAAAAACTGCTTCTCGTCCAATTCCTGCTTCTCAGATATACATTACTGATCGGGTTTCACCTCAGTGAGAGCTATGCGTCTGGTTTAGGTTACTGTATCAATTTTTTTATAGCAGCGAACAATCACTTTTTGAAGGTAAACAGAAATATATTGCCAGATTTGATGGATTTCAGTGGCCTCCACATGTAGGAAAGTCTTTATACACAAGGAAAACTGGAAACCTTAAGTGCGTAGATTGTAACCCCAAAGCAGTTTTTCTGGCTTGAAGGGTCAGTTTTTTTTCAGGGAATACCTGTGAAGTAAAGGAGACTACATAGAAAATAGACTGAACTAAGGTTAAGAAATTAATTCCAGCATAAAGGGGTTCTTTGTGATTGAAAAATAGACAAACACCCTTTCTTTTCTTGAAAGAACTCTCACAGAGGACACTTCCAGGAAAACCACACTGTATTGTAGGAGTTTTCGGGAGATGTTAGTATGCAAAGTTTGTAAATAATATTTGAATATTCTTTTAGATAAAATGTTCCTTTTTTATTTTACTTTGAATTCTTGGAAGAGACCCCCAACTCCTTTCCTATCACTATCTTGTACTGGCAAAACAGATGTAAGAGATTAAAAACGGTAGAAGGAAAAATAGAAATCTTCAGGAAGAAGTCATTTTGGAGAATAAAAGGAATATTTATTAATGTGCCTTTGAAAATAGGACTTGTGGGTAGATGGGTCAGTGTGTTGTTCATGTTTAAAAAAATCTCGTTTGGTGTAGCTATTTTCAGTATGGGCAAAGAGAAGGCATGGGTAGAAGTGGCATGAATTTCTTGAGATCTAATAACGCTCTGTGTTTTAGTGTTCAGTTGCACTGTGGCTGAACTTAAAATTAATTTTTTCATTCAGGGCCAAAGGACAGATATTTCCCTTCAAACAGGAACAGCCATTTACTGTACTTTGTACCTCCATCAACCTGGATATGATTATTCAAACACTGAAAACAAGTTGATTTGTCAGGAGATGGGATTTGACTGTAATTGTATGTCTGATGACTGTAGATATCTTGGCTGAGGTGGAAATTACTATCTTTAGGCTGATTACATAAAATAACACTTTGTTAAATTTTGTGACTCTAAGTTAACTGTAGAGATTCATATAATTGTTTCATTTACAGTAAAACACTCAAGAGATAAACTCGAATTCAGTGTCATTTTTTGGAAACACCTCTGTCAATAGTGCTCATCATACTCTATATTTTTTTCGGCCAATCTACCATCACACATGATTTTAAACAAAAATCTTTGCTTGACTGTTTTGACTGATTATCAGCATTTTGTAGACATAAGACAAAGTATTTTGGCCAAAAATCTTGGAAGATTTTTCCATTTCTCTGCAGCATCTAAGAATTGATCAATTTTGCCAATAATAATTTTAAAAATCTCCAAAATGAATTTTTAAATGTTTTAGTAGAGTGGACATTCCCAAGCTGAAGGTTTGAAGAAGCTACCTTGCTAAAAAGAATACTATTAAATAAACTAAAATAAATTAAAATCAAATTATTAATGAATAAATGTTGAAAATAAAGTTAATACATAAAAATATATAAATAAATGTCTATAAAATAAAGAAATTCATTATTAAATAAGAATATTGTAGTGCTAGCATTGTGATTAGGGTCTTGAGATATAATAAAACTTATTGGCAGCTTATTTCACTGTGAAGCCTGAAAACAGGAATTTTATTGGTATGTTGACCATTGCTTTAAAATATTCAAGATTAATTCTCCGTTGCATTAATGTGTTGGACTGTATCAGCACCAACATTAATAATAATAAAAAACCTGCTTCAAATCAGAGTACTAGAAGAGTATATGGAATTTCAGATATTTACTTACATGATAAATAGTACTGATTTGGACTGCTGTTTTGAAGAAAATGCATGGTTTTTTCCTTTCAGCCTGACCTTTTTGTATATATGTTCAATCATTTTGAAGTTGTATGAGCCCATTATGTATAACGTAATTGGTAAATGGATTTTTAAGGTTATATTTGTAGTTGTGCAAGCACTATCTGAATTTGTCTTCCACCTATTATTCCTGAATGAAACACGAAGACGCCTTTGTTCTAAAAATGCATCACTCAAAAGAATGAGAAGTATGCAGCATTTCTATATAAAAAAAAAAAAGCATTAATGAAAATAGACTTCAAGTGTCTAATTTTTTTCCCCAAAGGGTATACAAGAGACACATCGTTTCTTGCAATGGTGGTGGATATTGTCCAGGAGTTGAAGCAACAAAATTCTAACCTAGTATACGGTAAGGATGTGCATTATAATCCTTTATGCTTCATCATTGTGTATGCCCATCATTTTCACATTTTAGGATGAAAATGCTGTTCTGATGTTACCCAGCATTTCACAACCATCTTGTGCTCTGATCTGGCTGGGACCAGTGTGGGGCTCCAGTGAAGTTTCGTTTCAGTATTGCTTAAGTTTTGTGGGAGTTGGGTTTTTATCTTTTTGGTTTTATGCCTTTCAGTATGTTTCTTGCATTATGCCGTCCAAAGGAGAATGTGCCTTGAGGACAGTATCGAAGAAAGGCTTGTGAAATCCCATCCGGCTGCTGCTACTCATAGTTCAGAGGCACAGGCTGATAGCTGAAGCCTCTCCTTGATTTCCAAGTCAGTCAAATGCAGGATAGACCCTCCTGTGTTGCCCTGCCATAGTTTGACGTTGCATCCCAGAAGTGTCTTACTGTGCCTTACGAGCTTCATAATTTAGCTTAAGCTCCCAAGGCTTTTTTAACACTGGTGCAGTCTACTAAGATTACCTAGGAGCTCTCGAAGAGCTACGGACTCTAGCAACTGCTGTCATTAACGTGTCACGTCAGACTTAAACCTGAGAGAAAAGATTCTCCACTTTCCTTCCCGACTCTGAGTGTTTCAGGACTTTGGAACATAACCAGCATAGGCTTGAATTGAGCAAAGCATTTAGAGTGACAGGGCAAAGTCAGTCGGGGTTTAGTGGGATAAAAAACTGTGAATGATGGTTTGAGCCTGTCATCCTCAGGTTCAGTAAAAATGGGTGGTCAGGAAACATCTAGAATTATTTGCAGGATTTGCAAGGTGTAATACTGTGGAGTGTGATACCTGACTTAAAATTAACAAAGCACAGTTCTTATTTAGAAAAATGTAGCAGGGATATCTTTGTGAGCTCAGT